CTCGTGATTCCTACATACGAGCTGAAAAAGTGATGCCTGACTTAGAAAATCTGATCAATGGGATGAACGAAGTGTAAAAAGAATACTTCAGATGGAAGACAGCATTCAAGATACAACATACTAATAACCATATACAGTGGTACCTCAGGATACGAAATTAATCCGTTCCGAAACTGAGATCGTATCATGAAAATGTCGTAAGGTGGATCATCTTTTCCCATACGATTACATGTAAAACCAAATAATTCGTTCCAACGCAAAAAACATACTCAAATTAAAGCCAAGTAATACATTTAAAAAAAATAACTGTAGTAAGAAAAACAAATGAAAAATGCGAACTAATGTAACGTCGTATGGTGAGTTTTTGTTCGTATCGTGGAGCAAAAATATGTTCGAATTTCATGGCGTATCCTGAAAATTTCGTATGCTGGGGCGTTCGTAACCTGAGGTACCACTGTACAAGACGACCGAATTTGGAAGCAGATTTACAAGTCCAAAAAATGGTTAACAGATAATAACATAGTAGTTCTCAAGGTGGATAAAAGCAAAGCTATGGTGTTATTGAAGAGGAAAACGTACATCTCAATGATGCAAAAATACATCAATGATACGGAGTGTGAGTCTATTGAGGATGGATTTGTCAACAAACTACAAACGCGTGTAAAAAAGTTTACTCAAACACCGTTGGCTAGAGTATTGAACATAAATAGGGCAAAGGGGGTCTTCCCCTGACACTCCCAGGCTCTTTGCGTTTGCCAAGACACACAAGGATATACCTTCATTGAGACCAATCCTGGACAAGGTGCGATCCTCCACCAGATCGTTAGACACGGCTATACACAAGCGCATAGCTCATCACTTAAACAATTATTCTTGGACGGTTAGGAACTCGGTAGAGTTATTGGATGCTTTAAGACCGCTTAGCATTAATGGTCGAACGTACATCACTGTGCTTGATTTCATTTCTTTGTACCCTTCTATAAAAATCCAGCCATGCTTTTGCGCAATTAGGGACCTATTACTAACTTCATATTGGGAGTATCATAAACAAGTATTGGAACTTGCCCACCTGTTGTGCTATACATCATTTTTTCGGTTCAACAACTAAACTTATCTCCAAAAGCGGGGTGTCCCTATGGGTAGCCCACTTTCGGGAGATTTGTGTGAATTAGTCATTAGACAATTAGAACAAAGAATAGTACGTATGTACATTTCTAACATACTTATTTATAGGAGATATGTTGATGACATCTTTATTATGTGGAATGCTAAGCCCAATATAAATGACTTCATTGACGCAATGAATAATAACCTGTATGGCCTCTGCATCAAATTAGACCAAATAAGCAATTCAAATGCTACCTTTCTTGATATCAATATACAATTAGATGGAAACAGGTTATCGACCAAGGTCCATTACAAGCCATGCTATATGCCTCTATTCATCCCGGCCAATTCGGATGACCCCTTTTCGTACAAGGTAGCGGTGTTCCGGGCCCTAACCAAAAGAGCGTTTACACACCACTCAAAATTCGAAGATACATTGGCAGAATTACAACGCATCCAGAACATAGCCACGCGACACGGATATGGGCCAAGATTAATTCAGAACCTTGCGTTTGACTATTCATCGCAAGTATATAATAATGACAACGATGGCCCACGCACGAACAACTCCAACAATTTTCAGTCTTTAGCTGTTGTTGAATATAACCATCATCTTGATCCGATTTATAGAGAAATTGCTGTGAATACAAACAAGAGGATTGCATATAGGAGGCGTAGTACTATTTATGACATTATGTGCAACTGCAAAGACGACATAGACAAGAGATCTGCTCCAGAGGTATATTCTGTCCCACTAAGGGACCATAGATTTCAAAGAGACCTGGTATATATTGGTTCCTTGATACGCTCTCTTGATAAGCGTATACGCGAACACAAATATGACATTGAGCATAACAGATGCACCACTGCCCTATCTACTTATGCTTCGACCCCTGGCATAAGTGCTGACTTACATAATGAGCAAATCATTAAACTTTCACACAGAAGGGAACACATAAGAACGCTAAAAACCTTGGAAATATATAAAGCGGGGTTACGAAATAACCGCATCAACTATAAAGATGCGAGTAATATTTCTACAGCTTGGAGGTTTGTCGTTGAAGGGGAAGGCTCCCACAACTGTAGTTAAGGTGTTGCTAACATTTCATGTGCGTGTAAAATAAGCTTGTTTAGATAAGATTGTTTAAATATATTTTGTTTATGCAATGCTTGATACGCATGCTCATAATGAGTTGAATATGTTCCAAAACTTTAAATCTGTAAGCACAACGGCTTTTCGAATCTCGAAACATTTAACCTGAAGAAGGCCGAAGAATACGGTCGAAAACATTTGTTTTTAAAATAAATATTTTACTGGTCAAAGGTTTATTGTGAATTGATTTTTATCAGACATCTTGCAAATACTATAAAAAATTGCTTCTGTCAGAAAAATAATAGGCTGGAATTACAAGGGAGAGTTTCAAAGTTCAGATGAATACTATCTGATCAGTATATTCCGGATTGAGCGTTGATGTCGACGTCTCCAGCGCTCTGAAAAGTTTTGAATTATTGTCTGAAGACAAGGGAAAATCAATTGGCATTTGCTATTTTTGTCGCTTATTTTTTTATGTTTGTTCAGTGAAGTGTTCGTTATCCGATTTGTTCATTAACTGATTACTTACTGTAATACATTTTCAAATTTTTAAAAATAAATGCTTTTTTTTTAATAATTACATTTATTCTAAATTTTGTCTATTTATCCTACAATGCTTTCTTTATTACATGGAGTAAATATTTTTGGTAATGTTTTTGTTTTGTTTATGTTCCAAATTTTTACTTAAAATTTGAAATCTGAAAAAAACAAAAAATTACTTGAATTTTTTGTTTTTTTCAAAACTTATTAAATAGGACAAACACTTCTCCTATTTAATAAGTTTTTAAGATAAATAGGATAAATTAAACTAAATACTTGATGTGAGGGACGAACAGACTCCCCCATTAAAGTGTTATTTTGGACTTTAATTATTCGGAAATTCAATTGTCTAACTTCAAGTGTTTTATCAAGTTAGGCTAAAAGCCACAAAAATTTATTTCCCACAAAGTTGGTTCCTGGTTGAGGAGGATCCAACTAGTCAGTGATGTGTCACCTGGCACTTTTGATAAAGTGCCCACATTGGACGCCAGACTCTTAACAACCACCTGACCTCATGGGAAAAACCCAAGAGGAATAACAAGAGAAAACGAAAAAAAACCACCCAAAATCAGTTGTCTTCCAAAGTCCCTCCACAAAAGGCGTCCTCAAGGATTAAACCCGTGAACCTGAATCCAGACGTAAAACCTGTGCACCAGAATCCAGAAGTAACACTGTGCCTCTTTAAGAATCTCACCCCACTTCCGTGCTGCCACACCTCCATGCTCCTGTTAATGGACAAGAATTTGAGAGAACATTCCATCGGCAGCTCATCTTACTACAGATCTTAAACTGCGAAGAAGGTATTTATCAACCCGTGATTTGATTGTAAACTCTCTCTCTTGAACGGACTAGTAATAATTAAGGGGAACATTAGTCATGCTTGATATCGAGTATATCTGTATTTTCTTTTGTTATAATTAAAATTGTTATTTATTTGTTACTATGGAGTCCGAGTGAGTCACTTCCTCATCTCTCTCCTCACCTCTACTCCGAATCCAACCACTCACCTGCTACCACTCGCTTGATGTAAAGTCGTGATTTCCGAGTCCTGCGAGACTCAGTGGTGTCACATCCTGACGTGGTGTCAATGAGACACCGACCCTACGGTCACATTATACTTTTGGCCTTCAAATCACAACAATGATTAAAATAACAAAAACAAAACTTATTTTCCCAAAAAATTTTCACTTCTTTATTCATATTGTAAAGAATATGTAGAGAACAAATAAGCAAAATGCAAAAAAAAACAGACCTGATTCAGCCTTTCTGTCACTATTATTTGATTTGTATTGAATATGTTAATACAGAAATTATGATATTACAGGTTTTGGATTTATATTATAAGTATTGAAGCTTGTTATAATTTTTTTTATTGAAAAGCTTATATATTTTATGCTGAGTTTTAATGTTGTAACTATTCTGACTTAATCTGATATTAATTTATTTTATTTTATCTTAAGATAAAATAAATATCTTAAGATTTATAATTTAAAATATACANTATATTCCACTTCCAGTAATAATTATAAATAGCAGTAAACAAATATATCTGAAAAAAATTATCAAAAAATCTCCAAAACCAAAATATTAATGCAATGTACAATTGTTATTTTCAACAGAAAAACTAACAGTGATAGAGATCACGTGTCTGTTGCACGATGTGAACAAAAACGTATCGATTGCAGTGGTTTGAAGGAATAAAAATAATCTTACATTGTTCAAAAAAATTATTTAGACTCAAGAATATGAAATAATTACAAAACAAGCAATAATAATCAAAATAAAAAAGCGACCAATTCATGACCAAATATGGATAATGTTAAGAATCAGAATAAGCTATCCAACTGACAATACTCTTAAAAACATGTGTTTTAGATGTCGTTCTTTATGAATGACTCCTATAGGAGTTCTAAGAATGATTGACATCGGCTTTTGAGTTGTTAATGAAGTTTGCCATGGGTTGAAATGTTTACATTTCTAACTAAAATGTTGATTAGGTGTTAGAAAACATGTTAGAGCAACAAAAAAACCTTAAACCAATCAGGATTGATAGAAAGTAGATAGATTGTAGCAATCTAAATTAAAGGCCTCTGACAGCAGTTATTGGCACAGAAAAGGACAAGTTATAAATTTTCTTGATTTTCAAATGTGTAAATAAGCTTATGTATAAATCTTCTAATAGTAATAACTCATTGTAAATCTGACATATTAGGTAATTGTTTTTCTAATAAATTTATTAGTCATCCAGTTTATAACTTACCTAGGATTAAAAGTAGCTACACATTCTTCTTTAGTATTTTGAATATCCATTTGTTCACTTTTAAATTTATCAGAAATATTAGTATCTTCTGGAACAGAAATAAATAAAATTTAACTTTTATGCAAAACATTGCATTTTAGTATTTAATAGCAAAAAATGTAAAAATATTAAGTGCCAAAACACTTACTAAAACACCTTTTCTTGCAGCCGACGCTTTATTATAATGACTTTCAAACGTTTTCGATCTTATTACGAATAACTGTTTTTTAAATCTTTAAAAAACAGTTTTTTAAATCTTTAAAAAACAGTTATTCGTACTAAGCGTTCGATTTACGATTATGTCGTTTATTTTGGTTACTTAGTTAATTTTATTTTCTTGAGAAAGGTCTTTTAATAAGATCGAAAACGTTTGAAAGTCGTTATAATAAAGCGTCGGCTGCAAGAAAAGGTGTTTTAGTAAGTGTTTTGATATTACAATATGCAGTCTAGAAAGAATTAATATTAAGTGCATTAAAAATCAACTCGTGTATGATATAACCCAATATGACACACAATGAAATACAGTAGAGCGTCGTTTATCCGAATCAATTGGGGACTGGGGTTGTTCGGATAACTTATTTTTCAGGTAATCAATTATGTACGAAAAAATATATTAACCTATCCTGAGTTGAAATTTTTCTCCGTTGTGTATTGCTTTGCGTTGAATTTTCGTCCTTAAGCCGTTGTTAAGCCTAACGTAAACTTTTTAAAAATAATAATCGTGGCTATTGTATCGTTAAAAATTATTTCTTTATTTTTTACAAATGAAATAAATATATTGAAAAATATAAACACCAAAAATATATACTTTAGAAGTTGATCTAGTATCAAAAACGTTCGATTCAGCATGACACACAGTCCTCAGAAAAACACCACACAAAAATGCCAGGGCTGCCAGCTAAAACACACACACCAACAAAAAAAAATATTGGAGTAGCCCAAGATATAGCCAAAGATTGCAGTGCCACAGCACTAGTGAAAATTTAAATTTGCCGACTGAAATGCTTTCGGTTAACTGGCTTTCGGATAAACGACGCTCTACTGTAAATACAGTAGAGCGTCGTTTATCCGAAAGAATTCCAGTCGGCAAATTTAAATTTTCGCTAGTGCTGTGGCGCTGCAAATCTTTGGCTATATCTTGGGCTATTCCAATATTTTTTTGTTGATGTGTGTTTTTTAGCTGGCACCATGGCACTATTGTGTAGTGTTTTTCTCAGGACTGTGTGTCATGCTGAATCGGATGTTTTTGATACTAGATTAACTTCTAAAGTATAATTTTTTTTGTTTTTATATTTTTCAATATATTTATTTTGTTTGTATAAGGACCTTGAATAAGTTCTCGCTGTTTTTTTGTGAAAATTAACACTTTATTTAAAAATAGTAGTAATAAACACGTCACTGAAAGTATTGTCCATCACTAGCCACTACTTTCTCCCATCGTTCTGGCAGCATTTGAATTCCATGTCGGAAAAACGACACGTTTTTTAAGGCTATCCAAGAATCAACCCATTTTTTGGCATCTTCATAAGAACGAAAGTGCTGCTCAGCCAGGCCATGTGACATCGATCGGAACAAGTGATAATCGGAAGGGGCAATGTCTGGTGAATATAGCGGGTGGGGTAGAACTTCCCATTTAAGTGTTTCCAAGTACGTTTTCACCAGTTGTGCAACATGTGGCCGAGCATTGTAATGTTGCAAAATCACTTTGTCGTGTCTCTGCTCATATAGCGGCCGTTTTTCCTTCAATGCTTGGCTCAAACGCATCAATTGTAGTCGATAGCGATCTCCCGTGATAGTTTCGTTTGGTTTGGTTTGAGCAGCTCGTAATAAACTACACCTAGCTGATCCCACCAAATGCAGAGCAGAAGCTTCGAACCATGGATATTCGGCCTTGCTGACAATGTTGATGCATGACAGGGCTTACCCCACGATTTTCTACGCTTAGGGTTATCGTAGTGTATCCATTTTTCGTCACCTGTCACGATACGATGCAGAAAACCTTTCCTTTTCTGCCGTTGAAGCAGCTGTTCACATGTGAAAAGACGCCGTTCGACATCTCTCGGCTTCAACTCGTACGGCACCCAATGTCCTTGCTTTTGAATCATTCCTAATCCTTTTAAACGTTTCGAAACTGTTGTGTGATCAACTCCTAATGATTCTGCAAGTTCAGCTAGCGTCTGACATGAGTCTTCATGAAGTAATGCCTCTAATTCCTTGTCTTCAAACTTTTTTGGTGCACCAGATCGTTCTTTATCTTCAACATCAAAATCATTATTTTTGAAGCGTCTAAACCAATCTCTGCATGTTGTTTCCGACAGAGCATGGTCGCCGTAAGTCTCAACAAGAATTCTGTGTGCTTCAGCTGCAGATTTTTTTTGAATAAAATAGTGCAATAAAATTCCCCGCAAATACTCTTTTTTTGGCACGAAACTAGACATGTTTAACACAATGAAAAAATAAGTTGTTTACACTTCGGTGAAATGACATATACTGAATTTCAAGGTCGCTTATTGTACTTCCTTACAGATGCGTCACCATCTAAAAATAGACACACGTGGTTCTGGTAACGCCATCTGTTGGAAAACAGCGAGAACTTATTCAAGGTCCTTACACAAAATAAAGAAATAATTTTTAATGATACAATAGCCACGATTATTATTTTAAAAAGTTTACGTTAGGCTTAACATTGACGAAAATTCAATGCGAAGCAACATGCAACGGAGAAAAATTTCAACATGGGATAGGTTAATGTATTTTTTTGTACATAATCAGTTATCCAAAGAATAAGTTATCCAAACCATTTGATTCAGATAAATGATGCTCTACTGTACATTCAAACCTCAGTTTTTGAATGCCTCACTTTTCAAACAATTCCATTCATGAACAAAATTTTGAACTCATAATTGTACCAGATGCCATACAATAACTCGATTGCTGAACAAGCTACTCAGCAAGAGCTACCATGGATTAGAGAGTCAGATGATCAACTCCCTCTACTTGCTATGTTAAGCAAGTCAACAGCCCAATCAATCAACAACAAGACTACTAATTCAGAAGTTAGTGGCACAGAGATTGTCTTGCATCATTAGACATCACAACAAAAATAATCAATGATGTTCCTATTTAAATTATATCTCAATATACATGTGGGAAAGATACTATTTCCATTTTTTGGTTCGTGCCACAGTTGACATCCAAATCAAATTAATTAATAAAAACAGTGTTAATTGACATTCACATAATATAAATGGTATTCAAGAATTTGCATTTAAATATGCCTAAATTAAGTTAAATAACAAAGATTTATTAATATAAATATTATATATCATAATATTATAGGGATTTTAATGTATAAAATACAGCTACAAAAAGGTTAAAAAAAAAAAAAAGGCTTTATTTTGGGTCAGGAATAGATTAATATTGTAAATTGCCTGTTTATGTATTTCTATAATTTTATAGTTTTAGCTAATTTTGGACCTTTTATCAGTTTTATCTTACCCTTCCCTGATCGAACTTCATTACTGTGTTGCATGACGTGCTGCTAAGATGGTGTTGTTGTGTTCTAATCTCACACCCAATCTATGTTCTTCGAGTATATTGTCTACTTAGATTACTATAAGTATATAAACAATATCTTTTAGATGTATATCAAAATTTCTGCTAGAATCTCATGTAATCCTAAAATATTGTCAAACTTTGACAACTTAACTTTTGTCATTATTATTTGTTTTTGTATTGTTTATTAGTGCATATACAGTGGAATTTTGTAAACCTCCAAATATAAGCTAGGTTATCATTAGGTTAGAACTGAAATGTATATATATGGTAGCCTATATCATATTTTTGATATAGGCTACTAACCATAATATCTTTTAATATATAGGGTAATGACACCAGTGTTTGACATAGACCCAGTGATTGACAAATACCACTAAAATTCCTAGTAAATTACATTTAAAGCATCATTTACCAGGAATACTAGAAATGTAATTTAAGACAGCTAATAAAGTCTAGTGTTATTTTTTTTATTACCAAGAAATTTCATGTAGTTCAGTTTCTGAACACTAGAGAGAAAGATGTGGTAGAAGTCATTTTAGCTATGGCTTGGATGTGAAACAGATCTTAATTCTTTTATTAAGGAACAAAGCAAAGAAAATCTATATTTATATCTAATTAATGTTAAGTTTTTTTAATAATGTTTTATTTTCATCATTTAGATAGTGAAAAATTATTTAAAAAACACTGCCTAAAGCTACAAATAACTAAGGTGAAAAAAAAATGTAGTGTCAATTACCAGTTTCAATATCTGTTATCATACCAGCATTTGACTTTAGATGTCAAACACTGGATAAACTTTGTCAATTACTGGTTTTCTTATTATTACGGTATTTTTTCTTGTTTCATTCCAGATTTTCTTATATTGAACTGGTGATTATGCCTCTTATGCAGTCTAAGCCAGGTTTGAAAAAACCAAAATTCAAATATTCTGAGTCTATAATGAATGAAGCTCTCATTGCAGTAAAAAGATGTCACAAGTCAGTAGGACTTCCTCATTCCACTCTAGTGTATAAATCCTCTGGAAAAAATCCAATTAAAAGAAAAATGGGGCCAATCATTTGGAACTGGATCCAAGCCTCCAACTCCAAATGATATTTCAAGTTCAGATTCAAAGATGACACTTCATGATAATAGCAGTGAAATCTGTATTCATGATATTGTAGAGGAAATGAAAGCTAAAAATCAGATTTTCTCAGAATAAACTGTCTTCAGATTGACATATGGGTGTTAACAGAGCTTTCAAATGTGAAGAATGCTAAAACAGATTATGTTGGACTCATAATTAATATAGAAAATGAACTCATTTGAGACTGCATACTATTAATACCACAAGACTTACTAAGACACCTTATGAACTTGCAGCCAAATGTTTTCGGTCATGTTAAATGACCTTTCTCAAGAAAAAGAAATAAGAGAAAGCAAAATAAAAATAAAAAACTGTAAAAATTGAACACTTAGTACAAATGCATAAAAAAACAAACAGGCTTTTCG